TTTAATAAAAAAATTTACATGCTTAAACTCTTTCTTATTTACTTATTTATTTGAGTTATTATTAGACTTATTATTTGACTTATTATTAGAACGAATTATATACTTCTATAGGCGCATAATATTATTTAATATAAAGCAATATTTTAGAATATGTTTTTAATATGGCTCAATAATTTAAAACTAATAAAGAGAAACAGGACTACGAGCCAATGAATTCGTTAAAATCTTTAATTTATTCTAATATATTGCGAAGAATATCACGCAATTTTGGTGTTTTGTCCCGGCTTCCACTACTGCACTCATCAGTAAGTATTGTAGTGGAAGCCTTAGACGCCTGGGGGAGAGTTATTTAATCGAGAATCTATATAAAGAGATATACGCGTGTCAAAGCACTTTCGAGAATTTGCGTATATCGATAGACCTCTGATGGCGGGTCAACGTAGTAATATTCTTCGCAATATTTATCCAATGTAATATATGTATTCCCCCCTTCCCCCAAATTGCGCGCCGAACAATCGTCGGTCTTGAAACCCGCCATCAGAGGTCTATCGATATACGTAAATTCTAGAAAGTGCTTTGCATTCAGCAACCTCGAATTTAATTTAATATTAATTCTGTTTGCCGTAAATATTCTTGTTGGAATCTGTGTAATTACATCAAATCGCCTGAAAATTAAAGCTATTAAAGCTATTAAATAGCTAAAATAAGTACTTTGCATTCAGCAACCTTGAATTTACTAAGAAATATTAATTCTGTTTGCCGTAAATATTCTTGTTGGAATCTGTGTAATTACATCAAACCGCCTGAAAATTAAAGCTATTAAAGCTATTAAATAGCTAAAATAAGTGCTTTGCATTCAGCAACCTTGAATTTACTAAGAAATATTAATTCTGTTTGCCGTAAATATTCTTGTTGGAATCTGTGTAATTACATCAAATCGCTTGAAAATTAAAGCTATTAAAGCTATTAAATAGCTAAAATAAGAGGTTAATATTTTTCACTATTTTTCTTTTATAGAAATTGTTTGCTTATGATCAGAAAAATTTTTAGAAATATTTCCTGCAATAAACGTTCCATTAATATCATCCATGTATAACTAATTGTGCCAACTATTCTAAAGATTATCAAACATTAATTACGTATCGCATGCTACATAAGTGCTATTACGGATGAATCATACATATTAAATCCATGTATTGTACTTATTTACATACCGCCAGTATGTACTTATATTTACATACCGCGTCGCAAAAATAGTAGATTAATCAGTAAATAGATGATATCTTTTGTTCCTTGAATTTTTTTGTTTTTGTAATTTATAATACATGAACATTTATTCTGTTATGCAAATTTGGTAAATCTTCGGAATAACGGAAGCAGCTCCGATCTTCTTGACCTTGACATATGTTATCAAGGTCATGACCCTGAGTAACATTGCCTTAACAACTAGCCGTCGCTCGCCCTTCGTTAAAAAGATATTAACAAAAAAAGTTTAAAAAATAACGTCCTATTTCTGCTATATATACAGTATTAAATACTATTCTACATAGGTTTTGTGCCCGTGTGTGTGTGTGTGTGTGTTCCATTCGTTATATAACGATTATGAGTCTATTACTTGATATTTTACACACACACACACACACACACACACGCGGGCGGGTGCAAGGGGGTGGCCGAAGACACACCGTCGACAGAGGTCTGCCCCGACAGTACTATCATAGCAACAGTACAATCGTAGAAGTCGTGTGCAGGGGGGTGGGATAAAAGTTACTTCGCGTGGAAAGTTCAACGTTTCTGAACAGGGAAAGGTGTAGAATAGTACTTCATATCATACGTGATAGCATACGTTAAAACTATGATTGTTAATAACTTTTTAACGAAGGACGAGCGACAGCTAAAACCTGTTGAGGGTTACTCAGGGTCATAATCTTGACAACATATGTCAAGGTCAAAGTCATTGGAGGGAGGTCCCCTGATTGAGACATTTACTATTTTAAAACTATAATTGTTAATAACTTTTTAACGAAAAAAGGGCGAGCGACGGCTAGTTGTTAAGGCAAAGTTACTCAGGGTCATGACAACATATGTCGAGGTCAAGAAGATCGGAGCTACTTCCGTTATTCCGAAGATTTACCAAAATCTTTTTGGTTTGTATTAGTTAAAAGTGAAATTTATTTACACAACCACACTGTTTAACATAAGAATACATACATTTTTGTTATAAAAGCATAAGATCCAGCTGGACCATTAAAGGTATTTCTTTTTGGTTGTATTTCTCAACATGTACAGTCGTATATAATATTTAATACGTAATATTTAATAAAATTATATTTTTTGACAGAGCGTTCACGAGCTGTCGTTTCTCGAGCGGTCTTTCGAAATTAAAAATAATGTTGTGTCACACAGTGACATCATACAAACCGGTTTCTGTTTCAAATCGCCTTAATGTAATTTATTTTAAAATGCTAAACGATTTTATAATTGATTTGTGTAACAAATTTTGTGATATTTTAAAAATATTGTTAAGATGGTCTTATAAATAAGAAATTATAAATATCTCGGTTTTACAAGAGAAAGTTATAAAGTGTCTCTTATCGCACCGATTTCTATAAAATTTGACGAACTTGTTAAGTGTTCCCTCCTGATATAATATAGATATAATTCCATTTTAAAACAAAGATGACAAATTATTTTTTAAATATTAAATATATTTTTAATTTATGCTTTTGTTTCTCGAGAATTATCCCTATAGGTACATAATATTATTTAATATTAAGTAACATTTTAGACATATTATCATAATATTAAGTGTAACATTTTAAGAATATTTTACTAAAATTATATAATTTTAAATAATATTCTTGATATATTAAGGTGATATGCTGGATTCGTCTTATTATATTATCGATAAAACTAACGTTTTTGACGTTTTTGTTTTTGTCTAATGCGGGATCTACAATAGAAGTCGTAGCGGTCGTAGAGTCTTAAGTTGTAGAAAATTGATCAATCATAATCGAGTATTTTTTTCATATTTGAATGTAATTGGTCAATTTTCTACGACTTAATAAGACCTTACGATTGTGACTTCTATTCTAGACCCTGCGTAATTTCTTCATATAATAGTTTCGCAGAATAAAAATTCCTTTTTCACGATTTAAATATTTATGCTAATGTTTCTGCTCCTGGTCTATATTGTGTCCAAAGCTGGAAAAAATATGAAATCACAGATTTCTTTATTTATTTTTATCTTCAGTGTTGGTTAAATGAATACTGAGGTTGAATGGATAAAAAAATCTATTGGATTCATACTTTCGGTTTCATACTTTCGATTTCATACTTTCGATTTCATACTTTTTCCAGTTTTGGATATAAAATACATCAGGAGCAGATACATTAGCCTAAATATTTAAATCGTAGAGAAGAAATTTTTATTCTGTGAAATTACTATGAAGAAATTAGACAGGAACGAAAATGTCAAAAACACTAGTTTTATCGGTAATACAGGCGGCTCCAGCATCCCCTTAATGGATAGTTATTAATATAATATTTAGAGATGGGAAGTAACTCGTTACTTGTAACGAAGTTACAGGTTACAGTTAGAGTTATTTTTTTTCAGATAACTGTAACTTAACTTCGTTAAATATTTATTGTAATAAGGCTCAACGAATTTAAAACTAATATGAGAATAGGGCTACGAGCCTGAGATTCATTAAAATCTTTAATTCTATTAATTCTAATATATTGCGAAGAATATCACGTAATGTTGGCGTTTCGTCCCGGCTTCCAATACTGGACTCATCAGTAAGGTATTGTAATGGAAGCCTACCTTAGACGCCTGTTTTAGTTATTAAATCGAGATTCTATATATACAGATATACGCGTATCAAAGCACTTGCGAGAATCTTAGCGAATATCTATAGACCTCTGATGGCGGGTCGACGTAGTAATATTATTCGCAATATATTATTTAAAGTGATATATGTAT